TAATGGCAGTGCTGATAGAAAATTCCCCGTTTCAAGGAACATAAGCACAGCAGGGTGGAGGAAGGGTCTATTTGTTAGCAATGCTTTGCGGGCACCTGCAGATCCAGAGGGTGTCCATAGCAGCAGGGACAGGATAAAAGCAGGCAACAAAGTGTTCTCCTCACCGTGGGATAAGAGGAACGACAGCCCCCATGCTGTGCTGGGTCCCTTCCCCAAGTGCCTCTCCAGTGCTTTATGCCTGCTGGCCTTGCCTGCATTTGCAGCTGTGATCCCCTGAAAAATGGCTTTATTCATTACCCATTTTAATTTCAGTCTGGATCCCCAGAGCTCTGCAGACACATTTTGTTATCCTGGCTGTCAAGAAGCTTAAAGAGCTGCTGACGCCTCCTGGAAAACTTTGACAAACCCTCTGTTTAGGCACTGTGCTGCCTCCCCAGCCTGTCTGCCCAGGCTTCCCGCTCCCCGCTTCTTTATTAGCAGTGATGTCTGTGAGGATAGGAGGAGAAAAAAAGCCCCATCGCTGGCAACTGTGCAGAACTGATCTCTTCTTGAGGCCCCTTCACTTGCAGAGGATGTGCTGGGACAGAGCAGAGCTACAGAGGTTGAGTATCAAAGACCAAATTTGTGTTGCAGGCTGTTCTGTGCACATTTCACAGCAGAAAGAGCCTCTGGGATGAAGGCATGGAATTTATTCCTACACGCACGAAGGGTTTAAACCTGTGGTTGCAGGCTCTTGGGGAACCATTTCAGATGGTCTTTGGGAGGTGAGCAGGGGAGATGATTTGTGCTTGAAGACCTGTGTAGAAGTCTGCGTTCCCAATGGGAAATTTTTAGCAGTCAGAAATGGTTGAAAAATCACAAATTTAGCTGCTTATTTATAGTCCCTCACCACACAGTTGGACTGGATTAACCCGGTGAGCTGAGCGGAACAACTTCCCCATCTATTCTGGCTCTCTTTGGCGATCTAATCCTCTCCCAATTAGTTTCTTTTTACAACGTAGTTGTCAGGGTGCTTTTAGAGAACAAAATGCCCCTCGCTCTCTTCGGTAAGGTAGGGAAGTGCACCAGACACACCAAGAGCAGATTGTATCTAAATGTAATTTTGATCAAAGTTCTGCTTAAGAAGTGCAGAGTCAGCCACATGCTTTTAGCATAATGAGAGCGAGCCAGCCGAACCCGTAACCTCTGTGGTTTTGGTCCAGCTGAGAACGAAGTCATCTTCTGCCTCAAACCCTTCCGCCCAGCACCCTGCCGAGCTCTGAAATTTGGAGTGCCTTTGAGGTGCCACTCAAGCCAGCTGTCCTCAGGCGGGATGGAGCAGCGGCTGTCAGTCCTTGGAGGTCTGTCAGCTCCAGGGGGTTGAGGATGCACAATGCTGGGGGTGGAGCAGAGCAATTACAGGACCAACAGAGGCTGGACCAGGCTTTCTGTGCTAACAAGGATCCTGCTGCAGGGGTGAGGAGTCTGGGCTCTGGGGGAAAAGCCCTGAGTGACAAGCGTGTTCCCATGCCCTCTGGGCACATCAGAGTGGCTATAGGAGGTCCACAGGCTCAGTGGGTCACTGCAAACTGAGGCTTGCTCCCACTTTGGCTTAAACTCCTGCCTTGCTCCAGTCCCTGCACTGAGCTCTTGGCATAGGGCTCTTAGTGTTTCTTGTTTGTTTTTATTCCTCTCTGTGACTTGTACACCCTGCTCCTGACCTCTGGTAATATGTTTAGTATCACCAATGCTATTTTATAACCATAGAATTAGTAAGGTTGGAAAAAGACCACAAAGATCATCTAGTCCAACCAATATGCTGTGTTAACTGTTAGAAACTGTAGATGAGTTACCCTGATTGCTAGAATGTTGAAGCAGTAATAAAACTGTAACTGTAACCACAGTTCTGTGGCCCGTCCTCATTCTGCCACCAACCCCCGGAGGACCCATCTGCCCCCAGGTGACATCGCTGGGGCTGGAGCTCCTTGGGTGACAGAAGGTGTGCTGGTGACAGTGATGCCAGGACTCTTTTTTGAGCTCTTCCACCTCTGTTTCACTCATCACTGCTTTGACCATCCATCATGCTCACTATCAGCAAAATCAAATCACTCCAGCTCTCTTCCCGCTGGTGCTGAGCTGGGGATCGGGAACTGCACAATTCCATCCTGTGCACGGATGTGAGAATTCCTTCCTGTGAGGAAGGGATAATCCATCCCCTCTTCCCTGCATCTGCAGCGTGAGATAGTGGCCATGAGAGCAAGGTGCCCGTGCAGCCCTCCTGCGAGAGAGAGGATTTAAAAGCGGCAGTGGGAGATTGCCTGGATATCTCTCCCTTCTTCTTTATATGTTTAAGAGGTTTCGCTGTCTCAGTAACTCCCCTGAGAGACCGAAGTAGCAGCCTCTTTGGATGTGAATACCTGACAAGTTTTTAATGTGAAATGAATTCACTAAATTTAGTCTCTTGGAGGGAATAATAAAAAAAAAAAAAAAAAAAAAAAAAAAAAAAAAAGAGAGAACTTCTTCTTTCAGTCTGGGGGAAATGATCCAAACCCCAGCCACTTCCCTGCCATCAGAGCAAGCTGATTTGCTCTCTTCTCCTCCATCTCAAAAGCTTTTAAGTCTGGGCCCCATGTGTGCCTGTGCACAAATAAGAGGTGGGAGAATGGCAGGCACCAAAGCGGTGTCCCAGGGGGATGCGACAGCCCCCAGCCTCCACATGGCAGATGCTGACAGGGGCAGGGAAGGGGGGGATATATGAGAGAAAAACGGAGGAAAAAAACCCCTTTGGGTTGAGAGAGACCTTGTGTCTGCATCTTGGGATGCCATCTTTGTTTTCTAGTGGGCTTTAAGTAAGACATAACAGGTGTTGTGGGGTTGGAAGTAAAGAGCACTTTGTCACATCCATCCAAACCAGCTGGTCTCCACTCCATCATCCCTTCCTACCCCCTCCTACCAGAGCTTCTAAGGGCCTCTTTTCTTCTCTGTCCCGCTCTCCTGCCTCTCCCAAGGGCCTAGCAGTGACCTCTGCACTCTCCTGGCTGAAGAAGGTCTCCCCCCATTCAGGAATAGTGCTTTCAGCCTGGGTGAGGATCTGAACATGCCCATAACTGCTGGCACAGGCAGAAGCAAACACAATGCTGGATGTGGCTGAGCATCTCTACGTGTCTCTACAAGGTGAGCCCATGCATTCCTGCAGCAGAATTGATGGCTGGCACCTCCAAATTTCATCGGTGCCTCTGAGTCTAAAGTCTGTCTTAGTGGTGCAGTTTGGTGGAGATAAAGATTTGGCTGGCTGCACTCAGGGTGGGGAAGTTGTCTGTGTTTATTGCCCTTGCAGTGCTTGTGCCTGGAAACCCCCATGGCTTGCAGGCTAGGTTTGGAGGCTGTGGTCTTTCAAGCTGGATACTAGGAAATGTTTTTTATCAGAAAGGGTGGTAATGGTACAGGACTGCCTAGGGAGGTGGTGGAGTCACCATCCCTCGAGGTGCTCAAGAGCTGTGGAGATGTGGCACTGAGGGACATGGTCAGTGGGCATGGTGGAGGTGGGCTGGGGTTGGACTGGACAATCCTAGAGGTCTGTGATTCTATCTTGGTGGGCTGTGGACTTCTATGGCTGGAGGGCTCCCAGGTTTGCACCCCGAGCATGAGGGAGATCATGGGCTCCATGCTGCAGTGAGCATCAGCGGCCATCCCTCCATCTCCTGGTAGGACTGCAGCTCCACAACACTTATGTGCCTGTGGTGAAATCAGTGGAGGTGCAGCCCTGATTATGAAGATGTTATTTAGCTCTGTTTGCCTTTTAAAAGGTCACATCCTGGCCCAGGGATGCTAGAGCGGTGGGAGGGAGGTCGATCCTTTCTGTAGGGCCTTACACAGACATGCAAGGACAGGCAGGAGAGGAAGCGTGGCACAGGGAAGCCATGGCCTGGTGGGAGGGAAAGGGAAAGGAGAGAATGATGGTGATAAAAATGGCTGGCACTGAGCGTGTTTTAAAAAGACAAATAATCAACCCAGGGCACCCATTTGTCTTTTTTATGGCTTTTACTATTTTTCCCATTGGTAAATTTATGCGGACGCAGCACCAGCGGAAAGATGCTGAGCTGACAGCTCTGAGAACAAAGTCCGGCCCTTATCGGCAGTGCTGTGTGAGGCTTCAGCCCCCATGCTGATCAGGCTGGGCTGGGCAAGCAGGGATCGTGTGCGGGGTGTCTGGGCAAGAGGTCACGAGGGAGCATCCCTGTGAGGGCACAGAGTAATGGCGGGGCACAAGATGGCGGCTGGGCCTGAGGTGGCTGATGGGCAGCAGGATAAGGCGTCGCCCCACCTCTATGTAGCTCGGGGGGGGGGGATGTTTCGCCTATGTCCCCCTCCTTGCCATTGTTTCTCTGAGTGTTTTGCACAGATCGGTGTAGTTCTGCCCATGCGTTTTGTGCAGACTGGTGCGTGTGGTGCTTTGGGGGCTACTATGGCCAAGGAGGGCTGGGGGTGCTGCTGTCTCCACCGCACTTTTCTTGGGTGGAGGAGCTCTGGAGCATACAGGACAGCCGGCTGAGCCCCGCTATGCCGGCTGGAGGCCTGGCGAGAGTGTCTGCGGCCTTTCCTGAGGTGCCCCTGCAAGAGGCCCCACTCTACTCACAGCCCCTTTTAAGCCCCCTCCCACCAGCCATCGCCCTTTTAAGATGGAGCGAGCAGGAGGCGTGGCCGGCCAGCTCCCGCCTCTCGCCTCCCCGCAGCGGCGCGGGCGCCCCCTGGAGGCTCAAAGGAGCGGTGCTGCCCCCTCCCTCCTTTCAGCGGCGGCGGCGCGGCCGTGCGCGTGCGCGTGGCGGCGGGGGCGCGCGGCGGGCGGCGTTCCGTCGGGGCCCCGCGCCGCCGTCCCATTCATGCGGGGCAGCGGCGGCGGCGCGAGGCGGGCGGGTGGGAGCGGAGCCGCGGAGCCCCGGGCGGCGACGGGAGGGCGCGAAGGAGGAGGAGGAGGAGGCGGAGGAGGCGACGGCGAAGAAGGAGGAGGAGGAGGAGGCGGAGGAAGAGGCAGCGGCGGGGCCCGGCGGCGGCGCGGCTGGAATGCGGTTATGGCAGGCAGGGCTGGGGCGAGCGCGGAGCCGAGCCGTGAGTAACCCGCTTGCAACTTTCCTCCGCGCCGCGTGCCTTTAGGCGCCCGGCTGAGCGATCGGCATTCGGGGTTGGAATCCGATGGGAGCGGTATTCCCGCAAAAAGAAAAAAAAATAAGAAAGCCGCGGCCGAAGAGGGGCTCGCCCGGGTGGGGCGGCGGGGGGGCGGCGAGGCCGGGCGTGGGGCTGCGGGTCCCCCCGGTGCCGCACCGCCGCTACGTGCCCGGGGCTCGGGGCGCGGCACCGCGCGGGCTGGGCTCGCCCCGCACGCCGCAGGGCTCGGTGTGCCCCGGCTGCCGGCGCGGGGTTGCGGGCGGAGCCTGCGGGCGCGTTTGGCCATCGGGCAGAGCCGCTCTGAGGGCATCCGGCGTCGTGATTGGGATCCGCCGTTGGAAGCGATTGCCGTCGTCGTCGCGCCGTAGTTTGGCGGAGAGGCGCGGAGCCCGAGGGGGTGCGGTGCGGAGCGGCCGCTGCGGGAGGAGAAGGCGGAGGGGAGCCGGCTCCCCCTGCGCACGGCGCCCGGCTCCGGGCGGGGATCCGCAGCTGCTCCGCGCTGCGCTGGGATGGATCCCGAAATCCCTTCCTCCGTTCTCCCGGAGGGGAGATTCCTTCCTCCTGCCTCCGGGGCGGGGGGCTGGCGTGTAGCCGGGGCTGGACGTGAAGGTCACTGCTTAGCGAGGAGATGGATGGGGGAAGAAAGGCAGTAACCTCACTCGTTCGCTCTCCCGTCCCCGTGCTTCGGGAAGGACGGCAGGAAAGCAGAACCTGCGAACGCGCCGATGGGTGTTGCCGGTCCCGCTGTAGGCTGCGGGACGCGGAGGGGAGAAAAGTTGGGCAGAGCCGCGGCGCGGGGCCGCTCCTCGGGCGGTGATCGCTTCGTGCCGAGCGGCTCCGTGCGGAGCCAATTACCAGCCGGATTTTTTTTTTCTTCTGTTTCTTTTGTGTGAGACATGGGGGAGGGGGGGGGGGGAAGAGGAGACGAAGCTATTGACTACATCAAAGGTTATCCATTTGAAAACACCGTTTTCCTCCGAACAGCGGCTAATTGCTTCCTGAACAATCTCAGGGTCTTTTGTATATACTCAGTGGGTAAAGCGAGCGGCGCGATGTCTGTCTCAAGACACCGATGACCGAATGCGGTGGAGGAGCAGCGGGGCTGAGCCCGGCGGGCTGTACGGGCGTTCTTGGGGGGGGTTGTAAGGAGGAGAGGGAAAGGGAGGGATGGGTGCCGCCGCCGGCAGCGGATGCCGAAGTGCGGGGCCGTGTGGGTGGCGCGAAAGTTTGGGCTCCGGATCCGTGGTCGGGGAATGAGGGAGGGATGGATGGGCGAATCGCAGGCTGCGTGTGCCAGGCTGCGTCCCCGTGAGCTGCGCGGTGACATTCCGTGGCTGGGCTCTGTGTCCCCAATGGGAGATGGTTGGTATCTGTGCTCTGCCGCGTTCCGGAAATCCAAGTTTTGCTGGTGTTCTGTTTGTTAGTGGGGTTTTATTGGGGCCGCTTGCAGCTGGAGCCCTTCTGCAGTGAGCCTCGAGGGTTTCCCTTCTTTATTTTGTACATGCGTGAGGTTTGGAGTGGAGCACGTAGCTCGCTGTGCAAAGACAAAGCGCTGCCCTGCGGAAGGCAGAGGGCCCTGCGACACACAAACAAACTCCTCCGAACTCGGCCGGGCGCTGCCGAGATGGCAGCGGGTGCCGGAGCCGTGTTGCTGTGTGCCGCCAGGCCGCTCCCTCCTTCGGCAGCTGCACCGCTGCTGGCACGGAGCTGCGGGGCCAGGCGGTTCCTCCCCAGGGTTTGCCGTGTTCAGCATCCCTTGTGTGAAGGGACCTCGGGTTGGGCTTAACGAGGGAGACTTGTAAGCATCGCTCCCTGGGCTCGGTGCTTATCGGGGCCTTTGTTGCTGCCCAGGAGCTGCAGCGTTTGCCGGCAGGCAGCGCTGAGATGTGTGCGTGGAGCAGCCCAGTGCTGCAGTGCTCGCACCACCAGGCTTCTGTGAGCGGGTAGCGCTGCCCGCAGCATCCACCTGCATCCCGCTGGGCTTTGTCTGTGTGCAGGGTGCTGCCGTCACTCCTGTCCCCAGGCAGCAGGATGGCTTAGGCAGCCCTGGCAGTGCAGAAGAGCTGCTGCCTCTCTGTGCTGCAATGGGGAGCTGGGCATGGGGCACGTATCCTGTCCTTGCTGATTGCTAGGTTCTCTTCAAGCCCATGTTCTGCACGGCTGGTGAGATTATGCCTATGGAGACCTTGTTCACTGCCCTGTGCTCTGTGAGTGTCTCCTCTGTGCTGTGTCGTTAGGCAGTGTGTGCTGTGCAGAGGCTCAGGGAGCCCTGGGCTGGCTCTGGGCAGTGAGTTGCCCTGCAGGATGTGCTGGGCTGATGGGAAGTGGGGGGGAGCCGCCTCCTTCCTTCTCTTCATGGTATGCCCTGGCTGTGCTGTGAGATCCCACTCCATTGTGGATTCATGATGGAAGTGCAAGATCTGGCGCTGCTTTGGACCCTCAGCCTTGGCCATGCACAGTCTTAGTCCTGGGGCGGCTCTCATGTACTGTGGAGGAGGAACCTGAAGCCGTATCCATGGGTTTCATGCCAGGTTCAGGCAGACACCTCGCATTCCCCACCTTTGGCATGCTGTGTGTGCCTGGGGCCTGCTGGGAGCTGGCTGCTGCCCTCCTTGGTCTCACTTCCCCAGCATCGTTCTGCCCCCAGCCTTTGTTCCACGTGAAAGCCACCATTTCAAACCCTACATTAAAACATCCAGAAGTTGTTTTTCCCGTTAGCCAAAGCTTGGCAAACCCTCTCCTTGCTGCCCATGTATGGAGTCAGTAAGCCCCACATACACACGCAGGTAGCTGAGCTCAGCCCCACGGGCTGCTGCACGGTGTGTGTGAGGTGTGCGTCAGCTGGCAGGATTTGTGAGCTGGGGCACAAGGAGTGCGTGGGCCCCTTTTCCAAGAGGATTGCTTTGCATTCTGAGGGCTTTAGCTGGGGAAAGTGACCGTGTGAGCGTATTATGGCTGCTGGGCTGGGGATCCGTGGGTCTAATCGGCGGCCTGGCCTCCTCCCCAGCCTCCCCTCGGCCGCTCGCCTCCCGCCGTCCGCCGGCCAACTTGGCACGGAGGCCGAGGAGCGGCAGTAATCCAATTTGGGCCGTTTAACTGCACTTTGCTATCCGCGCTGCTGGCCGGAGCTCGGGCACTTTAATCTGGCTAATGACCCCGGCTTTGGGGTTGAGTAACTGCCGACCATTTGCTTGATTTGCTTTTCCTTTCCGGCAGGGCAAGAGGCTGAGCTGGAGCTGGGCCTCCATGCAGGTACCTGGGGGTTTGGGGGTCTTCCCATTTTCCATCTGCTCTCCCTGTGTCCTGTGCAGATAAACCCTTCTCTATGTGGCCGCTCTGCGATCCGCTATTATTTTGGGAACGCAAAGCCAAAAAAGATAAAGTCTTTCTTCCTTTGGTTGCCTACTGCTTAATGTACAAAATACAGGGGAGGTAATTGCGTTAAAATTTGTATAATTATACTGAAGGGGGAAACAAAAAAAAAAAAAAAAAAAAAAATTGAAAAAAAAAAAGAAAAAAAAAAACCCAACCCAACAACCTTGTGAATCGCACGGGTGTTGGGGAGCGGTCCGTGCAGGGTGATTCACGCTTAGGGCTGCGGCGTGCGAGGGGTTAGGAGGAGCCGTGCTGCTGTGTGAGCAGGAAGTCGGCTGCATCCCCGCTCCGAGCCGGCTCCAGCCTCGCTCCAGCCCCGGCGTTTCTTCTCCCGGTTGTGTCCTGGGTCTGATCCTCCGCGATATGGGGCCTCTGGCCGCCGTCCAGGCGAATCTCCAAGCGTCGGTGTAATCGTAGAAGCTCTGAGAGTCCCTTTGCTTTATGTGCTTGGTTAAGCAACTGCCTTTGTGTCAAAATATTCAAGCCCTTGCAGAAGTAAATCCCTTGTGAGAGGAGAGGCAGATCCCGGTGCTTGGGGAAGGAGCTTCCTGGCTCTGTGCAGGCAGCACCGTGCTGGGTGCTGCTGGGGCTGCAGAAGGGATTCCACAGAGCCGCCGATAACATCTGAGGTAATTATAATGGCAGTAAGTTGTTTGCTTTGTGCGCGCTGCAGTGCTTTATGTACAGGCGGTTGTTTCGGTCTTCCTGTACAGACTGTTAGCTTCAACAGGGGAAGAGGAAAACCTAAAAATATTTTAGGATTTTAAAAATAATCTTGCAGCTTGGCTCGTGCACAAGATGTTTCGTAGAGTAATGTTCTCTGTCAGTTGGAATGCAGTTGGTGGCCTCCAGAAGGTTTTGCTGGGCTGTATGGGGGCTCTCAAACTCTGACCCAGGCATGGGGAGGGCATAGCTCCCTTGTCCGTGCTCTGTGGTGTAGATGGTTACAGCCACTGAGGCCTCTGGAATGTTTAAAATCGGCTCCTCCAGCACTTCCTTGGGCATTTCTGCTGCCAGCAGAGCTGCTGCCAGCAGTGCTGTTCGCCCTTCTACCTGCGTGGCACTGAGTGGTGTCAGGGTGCACGGAGGAGGGGGGGGGGGGGGGTTGCCCCTCCAGAGGACAGCGAGAATTCAGAACCTGTTTTTCAGGCTGATGTCATCAGGAAGAAATGGGGGAGGAGAAAGGCAGGAAGGCAGGCGAGAGATCAGCCTCCAAGGGAGAGCTTCTGCGGGTCGGCAAGCCTGGTAAGGCTCAGGCAACTCAGGCTTATGTTGCCACCAGCCCTCACCCGCTGCCACCTGCATGTTGGCAGTGCCTGTGGCACACTGGGTCGGCTCCTGGTGGCACAGCCTCGTGGGTGAGCACTGCCTTGGTTCCCCCAGCCCCGTGCTTTCGGCACTGCATGCCATGCCGCGGAGCCACGCGGCTCCCTGCCCTCCGCAGGCTGACGTCACCCGTTGGGGCCACCGTCCAGCCGCTCTCGTTAGCAGGGAGTGGGGTTTTGGCAGTGGGAGCGCACGTGTCCTCCCATTTCTCAGCACTCCATCCTGGCTGGTGTCCCTCAGGCATGCTGCGTCTATGCTCCCCAGCAGGCTTTGCCCACGTTGGCTGGGTGAACCCCTGGAGCATGCTGGTGTGCTGGCCCTGGGAGCGGGGTGCGGGTGCAGCCTCTGGCTTTGTGCATGCGTGTGCTTCGCTGTTTTCATTGGATGCTCCCAGCCTGTCCTGCGTGCAAATGAAACCTCTGTTAGCCTCTCAAAGCAGAGTTTCCCTTCTTTGTGTTGTTGCTGTTGGAGCGCTTTCAGGCACTGCTCGCTTCCCCTCTCCCTGTCTCGCAGCTCCGCCAGCTCTTGGGCTGCTCGTGATTCAGCTCCGCCCTGGGCGAGCAGTGGGGCTGTGCTGAGCCCACAGCCCTGCAGTGTGGTGTGGGGTCTTGTAGGGGAAAGGAGAGTTGGGTGCAGCTTAGGCTTTGGCTGGGGAAACCTCTTTTGGAGAAGTGGAGATGTTTTGTTGTCCCCTGGCTACTTTATTCAGTCTTAACTATGAGCAGTGTGTGCCTTGAGATGGTGATTGTGGTCGGCAATGGGATTAGGTGGAAGAATGGGAATTTCAGCTCAGCCTGGTTTTGTGCTGGGTTATAGCAGCTCTGGTGCTACCTCCTTGTGCTGGGAGCAAAGAAGTCCTCCTGTTCTCATTCACTGATGGAGACTGGGAGCTTCCTGGTGCATCCGCTCTGCCCTTGTATTAGGACACTGGTGGTGGGTTGGACAATGGAGTGATATTGGTGGTAAGAGGACTTCTGCCTGTGGCTGAGCTTCTGGTTTGCTGCTGTGATGGGCTGAGGTGACTTCTGCCAGTGGGGTTGGTTTTGTGATGTTTGCGGTGAGAACTACAGTCTGGAACATAGCAACCAAGGTGGAAGGAGTCCTTTGGGGGCTTGGTCTGGACTTGTGTGCTTTGAAGCTGGGGACAAAATGTTGTTAGGTGGTCTTTGTGTCATTGTATTGGCCCTGTGGCTGCAGGAGCTGCAGGGGTTGCACTGCACTTCCTCCTGAGAAGCACTCTCATCGCCTTGAGATATAAGAGGTCAAAATCCTTGGGGTTGTGGCGGTGTGGGGCAGGATGCAGCTCTGGCCTGTGCCCTGGGGAATAATGAGAGCTCTGAAGACAGGAGAGATTCCTGATGCTGTGATTGAGGTTGGAGGGGGCAGATACAGTGCTTGCCACTGATTTCATCAGGGCTTGGCTCCAGCCAGGGATAAGGTTTGCAATGATTGTACTTGCTGGGGAGGAGGGAGGGATCCCAGCAAAATTGTTCCTAACGGCTGTGTGCGGTGGAAAAAGGAGTTAAATCTTGGCCTTGCTACAGATGATTGCATATATAGTGCAACTCCTAACTGGGTAACTCCAGCAGCCTTCTCTTATTGTTGCAAGTCTTTTCCCAGGCAGACGAACCTAAAAATACACCCGCTGCATTGTGAGACTGGCTCTCCTGTGGCCTGCGGGCTTTTCTCTCCTCTGTATAATCTCTCCTCTCTCCCTTTGGCTAATTACTGGCAGCGAGGCAGCTCGTGTGTTTGAAGATGGAGCCGGGACCTGCTCAGCCCGTGCACTACTGCTGAGAGCAGCGAGTGACTCGCAGAGATTGCAGATAAAGACCCATTAGTTCTCATTGCTCCTGTCCTTCCCGGGGTCAGCTAGAAGGGTTTTCATTTCCACAACTTTTCTCACTCAACCTATATTTCAAAGCACTCCTGCCAGGCTGTAGAGCTGTTGGGGCAGTCCCAGAGCAAGAAAACAGATTCTTTCTTCAATGTGGTGCTGCAGCCCTGCCTGGGACACCCTGGCGTGCAGCATGAGCGCTGGGGGCAGCAGGGGATGCTCTGTCCAGTCTTTGCCTTTTAAGGTTTGTTTTTCCAGCTCGGCACTCCTGCTTTGTGTTATCAAGAGTGATGATTGCTTCCCCAGAGCGTGCTCTCCCAGTCTGGGGGTGCCCAATACTTTGGGGCTGTGCTTGGAGTGCACATCTTGCTCCCCATTGGGATCCCTGTTGCAAGGTGCTATTGGGAACCCGAATCATTTCATACTGAAGAAAACAGACTCGCTAATCTTCCCTGCACTTTTTCTGTTAATTATAATCACTGCTGATGTCTTAAAGCAGGCCTTACTGTACCAAGCCCCTGCTGGTGTCAGGGCACTGGGACGAGGTGTTGCTGCTGACGTGTATTTGGGAGCAGAAGTCTCTGAGGAGCTCTGCAGACTGTCATCTGTCTGTGCCCCAGCGCTGCCTGGCTTTGCTCTCGTTCCAATTCTGAGTAACAGTTCCCAAAATTAATTTGGGAATCTCCTTTTGGGCTTTCTAGCCCTGCTTTGGCACAGCAGCCTGACCTCTGGCTCTCATCCCCGCTCCCTAGAATAGAAGCGATGAATAATTAGAAATGCGCTGAGCAAACGACTGCCCTGTCCCAGCAGTGCCATGCTGGGTTTGGTGTCCCCATGCTGCAGCCACACTCCCGCTTTCTCTCCTTCCCCTCCACGTGCTGCTGGTGCGTAAGCCAGGTTGCGTTTCGATGGTAATCTCCTTGCGACACAGCTGTGGTATTGTTCCTCTCCCCATGCTGTGTAGATAGAGCCGTGCTCGTGCTGGGGTTTGTGTTTGGTTTGGGTCACATGTGCCTCCTATCGCTCCCAGCTCCCCGTCCCTCCGCTGCCGCTGCATCGCTGCCTTTGTGCAAGAGGAGCTGTGTAACTGCGGCGCGTGGAGGCTGGAAGGAGAGGGCTGCTGGGCATTGCAGCAGTGGGAGTGGATGCGTGGTCAGTGTGTCGCCGTGCTCAGCGAGTTCCTTTGCTTGGAGGAGAAGGTAAAGACGTGGGTGCCTGGTGAAGCTGGCATTGTCTGCTTTGTAAGGGTTGCCTCCCCATTTCCGATGGCAGGAACCTTCATCTGGCAACCCGCAGCCCAAGAGGAAACCACACGGTCTCCTGGTTGAACCCACAGGCTGTGCCGATAGGGACTGGCAGAGCCTGGTCTGAGGTGCTTGCATTTTGCAGTATGGCAGAGATGTGGGATTGGGACCACCTGGTCCATTTCCAGGGCTGATGGCCCTACACCGTCAGTGCTCGTCTTAGCCTGTGTTGCTCAAGCCTTACTGCAGAAGTCTCTTTCGAGGATACTGCCCTGGGGTCTGGTGGGGAGGTGGTAGGGACTGGGAGCTGCTGGGACAGAGCTTTTGGAGCCGGGCACACCATAAAGGTCCGTGTTTGGAAGAGGTGTGCAGGAGGTGCCCAAAGTGTCCGTGTGCACTGCCAAGGAGCACAGCCCTGTGCTGCTGGCATGGCACCAGCTGCCCTCTGATGGCACAGCCCAGCAGTCACCACAGGCCATATTTCTTACAGGTGCCACTCCCTGCTGGAATCCTGCTTGTTGTGCTGGGCTGGGAGCGGGTGATCCCCACATGGGCTGAGTCAGAGATCGGTGATAAGGAGAGGGAGGCTCTTCCCCGTTTGCTTTCGTAACATCTTATCTGCAAAACTGGGATGGGAAACAAAGGGCTGAGTTCGCTTCCCAGCCATGGACTTTCTGCATTTTGAAGCGTCTCCTGCCCGCAGCCTCCTGGGCTTTGTCAGGTGCCAGGGCTGTCAGGCAGTGTGCCAGGGCTCCCCCAGCTCCTTTAAAAGGAGACTTTGAGATCCTTTGCTTGAGCTGTGCCTCGCACACCAAACCCGGGCTCAAGCCCCAGCTCCTGCAGGCTCCGTCATGCGCTGTTTGAGTAGTAAATTGGTGCGGTTTGCATCTTCCTTTATTCACAAAAGCTGTGCTTTTTTTTATCCTCCCATTTCTTCCCCCCCCCCCCCTCCCCCCCCACTTCCTTTGCCTCTTTGTAAAAGCAGCATCCTCTTAATGACCAGCGTGCAGGTCTCCAATTAAGCTAAGGGTAACTGGGTTATGGTATGAGGCTGGAAGTGCCTCTCTTGGCTGAGCTCAGAGGGATGCCCACAGCATGGCAGTGGGATTGGGATCCTTTTGCGCTTATGAGCTGGGAGCAAACTGGATTTTTGTACCAGCTCCCCATTCTGTGATGGAGTGGTGCAGAGGCTGTGGGCTGTCTGTTTGCTAGCAGCTGATACTTTGGTGCTGTCGGTGGTCTTCAAAGCAGGTCAGGGCCAGCGATGCCCTGCTGGGACATTTGTATGTGGTTGGTGTACTGGAGCGCATCGCGAAGCCGCTGCCTGTTTGGGATGTGCTGGCCTGGCCCAGCGACAGCTGTGGTTGTGCTGCTGCTTGCTCCTGCTGAGGGACTCCATGGAGGAGAGCAGGGCCTTGCAGGGGACTGCTCTGGGTAGCAGGGCTTGAATTTGAGCCCCTTCGTGTCACCACCTTGGCTGCTCATGGTGTAGAATTCATGGTGTCTAGCAGCATGTATGTACTACGGGGAGGAGTGGCCATTAGCATCCTGCAGGTTCTCTCTGTCCCTGTGCAGATTTTCTTCTGGAGTGGGAGGCAGTGGGGGCATTTTGTTATGCTGCCTTATAAGCATGAAGCAGCAAAGCCTCTGCGGGGTGGCGTGGAACAAGCTTACTGCTGTGCCAGGAGCTGCAGGAAAGCCTCCTAACCCTGCTGTTTTTCTTTCTCCCTCTAGGGTTGACCAGACCGGCAGTGCCCATGATGCCCTGAATGCTGAGCACAGCAGAAGCAGAGAAGACTGTGTCCCGTTAGCTCCTCGTCCTTCCTCCTTACCCCTTTAGTTTGGATTTGTTTCTATTTATTTTGTGGCTGGGTTTGGGCATGGCCTTGGCCGGATGTGACACTGCCGCGATGCGGCTCCTTTGGCTCAAGCACCACTTGTCTGTCAACATTTGGACCCTGCTGCTCTTGGGAAGCACCTGGCTACCGCTGGCGGAAGGCAGCCCCAAATCTCCCTTTAGGACTTTCTCGGTTACAGACTGGAGCTTGACGCACCTGGTGGTCCATAACAAAACCGGGGAGGTCTACGTGGGGGCCGTCAATCGGATCTACAAGCTCTCCAATAACCTCACGCTCTTGCGGACGCACGTGACGGGGCCAGTGGAGGACAATGAGAAGTGTTACCCTCCGCCTAGCGTTCAGTCCTGCCCGCATGGTCTGGTCACCACCAACAATGTGAACAAGCTGCTGCTGGTGGACTATTCGGGGAACCGGCTGATCGCCTGTGGCAGTGCCTCGCAGGGTATCTGCCAGTTCCTGCGGCTGGATGACCTCTTCAAGTTGGGTGAGCCCCACCACCGCAAGGAGCACTACCTCTCCAGTGTCAATGAGTCGGGGACCATGTCTGGGGTCATCATTGAGGTGCTAAATGGGCAGAACAAGCTCTTCATTGGGACGCCCATCGATGGCAAGTCGGAGTACTTCCCCACGCTCTCCAGCCGCAAGCTGATGGCCAATGAGGAGAATGCGGAGATGTTTGGCTTTGTCTACCAGGACGAGTTTGTCTCGTCCCAGCTTAAGATCCCCTCAGACACGCTCTCCAAGTTCCCCACCTTTGACATCTACTACATCTACAGCTTCAGCAGTGAGCAGTTTGTGTACTACCTGACCTTGCAGCTGGACACCCAGCTCACCTCACCCGATTCCACTGGTGAGCAGTTTTTCACCTCCAAGATCGTCCGCCTCTGCGTGGATGACCCCAAGTTCTACTCCTACGTGGAGTTCCCCATCGGCTGTGTGCAGGATGGCATTGAGTACCGCCTGATCCAGGACGCTTACCTGACCAAGCCCGGCAAGGCTTTGGCCAAGTACCTGGGCATCTCAGAGCAGGAAGATATCCTCTTCACCATCTTCTCCCAGGGCCAGAAAAACAGAGTTAAGCCTCCCAAGGAGTCTGTGCTCTGCCTCTTCACGTTGAAGAAGATCAAGGATAAGATCAAGGAACGTATTCAGTCATGCTACAGAGGGGAAGGGAAACTCTCGTTGCCCTGGCTCTTGAATAAGGAGCTGGGCTGCATCAACTCGGTAAGTTCACGCCTGTCTGTATGCATGCCAGGTGGATTTTGGCTCCTGGCTGGACTCTCTAGACCCTTCCCAGTTACCTGACCTAACTTGTTATTTTCCTGATGGGAGGCCTCTCTTGCTCTGGGGACTGGCACAGTTAGGGCTGAGCGCTCAGCTTGCTTGGTAGCATTCCTTGTGGAGACTGTGGCTTTGGTGTGGGAAGGCTGTCTGGGTTTGGGTTGAATCAGTGTCTGCTGATAGCTGCTGGGCCTGAGCGGGAGGCTGATTGCTGGCACAGGTCTCTTGTTCCCTGTAGAGTAAAGGGATGTGGGTGAGCTGGTTTTGAGGGCAAAGATGCTCAGCCCTCAGAAAGACAAATGGTGCCTGCTGCATCTCTGCCAGGGAGACCCTTGAAGATGGCATGTGTGAATTTGGGAGGATTTGGTCTTGTGGGGCTTAGTGGAGCTGTGGCTGAGCAGAAGCTGCTGGGGCAGGAGAATGAGGGCAGTTGAGAGGGATCCAAGTAGGGAAGGAGGCAGAGAGGTTGTCAGTCCCAATACAGGTTGGTCGGATGCTCAGCTTGGTGGGACCACGTCCTCTCTATGGTGTGCTGGGTAGGAGGAGAAGGGGTATGAGGAACAGGGAGCAATTGCAGTTGCTGGGTTTGTTTTCCATACTGGAGAAGGCAGGAGGGGAGGACATCATCGTGCTCCTTCCCCTGTTCTGTCCCAGGTCTTGAGGATCAGCAGCTGCCTCCTGCCCCGGGTGCCTGCATGTCCCCATGGAGCAGCCCGGCCTCCTTCCCTTGTTCTCCCTGCAGCTCCGAAGGAGACGGCTAACAGCTGCCTGACAAAGTAAAGGGTTTGCTGTCAAGAGCGCTGGGCTCTCAAATCAGATTTTGGCTTTGAACTAATTCAATTTTGGTGGAAAATGATGAAATCGTTACACTGCTGCTTGTTGGGTTGCACAGCTGCTGGCTCAGGCAGAGGAGATGCCTGCTGCTTCATCCCGATGTGCTCCCAGACCCTCTGCCCCTTTGTGGGGAGAGGGCTTTGCCTGATGAGTGCCCCATATAAAGGTGGGGGGGGGGCTGTATCCCTTCAGGGCCGTGATGTCTCTGCTGCAGGCAGTTTACAGGCACTGGTGGGTGCACAGGGGCTTCTTCATGCATCTCAGGAAAGCTGCTGTTGCAGGAAAATGTGGTGGGAGAGGGAGAGAAATGATGGCTGGTTTGACACCTGGATGAGAATGGGAACAGGGAGGTGTCCCCTGGTTGCAGTGCAGTGCAGGAGGTAAAGTCCTGTGCAGTTGCACATGCTGTGATTTATTATTTTTTTCCCTGCTGTTTCATAGCGTGGTTTCTTAGCCATAGACCTGATGCTGTGTTTATTCTTCCTTTTCCATCTGAAGGAGTGATACTGCTGTGCGCTGCTAACCTGCTCCCTTGGTGATGCAGAGGCAGCAGCAGCAGCACTGCAGTGCTCAGACCTGCCCAGCTCCAGAGGAACCCTAGCAGGGACAGCAGGTGTGGGGTGGTGGCACTGGGAGGATCTGCGGTGTCATTGCTTTCACGTGAGCTGGGTTGTGGTGGCGCAAAGCTGGCCTTGGGAGTCAGGTGCCATTTTCTGTCCCTGTCTTGCTCCACCTGCCAAGCATGGCAAAGAGCAGCACAAGGTGTTGAGCCTCAGCCTCTGGCTGTACTGGGAGTGAGCCAAACTGGGGCTTGCAGAGCATGTAACCTCTTCCTGGCAGGGATCTGTGTGCCCCTCGTAAAATGCAGCCACCTCTAGGGTGGGTTGTGGCAGCTGACGGATCTCGCAGTGATGGATGCCAGCCAGAAAATGAAGGGCATGTTGATTTTTTTAAGGAGGCAGAATGTAATTGCTAAAGTCAGTAGTTGCTCGGGATTTACGCCTGATCTGTATGGAAAATGTCCCAGGAGCTCCCTTGCTCTTGCTCAGGATTTATGGTTTAAAGTCTCCTCTGGAAAGTGGAAAGTCCAAATCTCATTTCTTAGCACATCAGAGGGACTTCTCAGTGCCAGAAAGCCACATCCCTGAGGACTGATCCACATACATCCCTGAGGACTGGTCCACCTGCACTGTGCTGGGTGGGAGGAGGAAGGCTGGGGAGAGCCGTGCCGACACCACATGGGGCATGGCTCTGAGCACCGAGCTGCGCAAGGAGGCTTCCTGACCTGGGTGCTGGCTTCTTTCTTACTCCAGACCCTAGTGCAGCATTCTCCTCAGCTATGAGCCTTAGGATGCTAATCCCTGGGCACCGTGGGACAGTGCAGATTTGCTGGAGCCAGAAGACACTGCCAGGCTTGGCAGCGAGCTTGGGAACTGAAAGCGCTTCCAGGGGTTTTGCTGCTCCAGATGGGATGCGCACTGTTGCTTCCCATTGTTGGTACCCAGCTCCCAAAGTGCTCTGCCTGGCTCCTGGGGTCGCCGTGCCTCCCTGTGTGCTGGGCATGGACCTTGCTGGGTAGCAGCCTCAGCAGGCACAGGAAGGCAGGCGTGGGAGGACGGGGTGTGTGTATAATGGTATTAACTGGCAAATTACTGGCCAATTAATAGCGCTAAGTGGCACGAGTCTCGCCTCTGCCGTCTGCTCCCTCGTTGCTTTTGTAAGTGGGCTTGAAGGGAGGCAATGAGACAAGGCGCGTCAAGGAGACTGCCTGTTCCAGGCCAGCTCTGTTAGCTCGGTGTGTCCCCTCTCCTTGGGGCTGCTTCACAGAGAAAATCAGGGTTTTCTGCCCCAATTTCTATACTGGTGGGGTTGAGCAGGCTGTGCCATGTAGCAGGGCTGTGGGGCAGTCGGGATGTGATGCTGGTAGGTGCCACCAGCCTCGTGCTGCCCACTCAGCCCGATGGTGGTGAGGTGCCTGCCTGCACTTCCCTAACGAGGCACTGTGCTGTTAATGAGCTAATTGTCGGTGTAATTATTTACCGAGGTGGTGTCGGCATCTCGGTGGCGTGCGGGTGCTCCTCACGGCCCTGGAGTGCAGCTGTATTTGTCGTTTCCCAGAGAGTTTGTTGAGACAAAGCAGAGAGGAGTAAACACCATAAACATTTATCCTCTTGCATATTCAGCAGCTGATGAGGTTGGGGAAGCTGCAAATTGAAGTGCAGAGAGAACAGAAATTGCATTGGCTTCCAGGGGCTGCCAGGGCTTAAATACCTTCATGGTTTGTGCTCAGGGCTGCTCAGGGCTCTGGCTGTGTTAACCCCTGTGCTGCTGCCCTGCTTGAGGTGGTGCCAGGCAGAGGTGGGTGCTGTACCTGCCATAAGTGCATGCTGCAGATTTGCTCAGGGCTGTCTGAGCAGCTCTGGGCTGGCTGATGGGCTGAAGGGATGCTTGCAGCCCTGGAATGCAGAGTGCAGGCTGGAGAGCTAATTCCCCTACCTACTTCTTCACACCAGCAGACATTCTTCACCTCCTCGTTCCTGTTTTAGGGGATTGGTGCATCTTGCATGCTTGGATGTCCCCAAGCTCCTCCAGTTTACAGGATGAAAAAAGGGGTCAGACGTGGAAAGGAGTCAATCTGTGCCTACATCTTAAACCAGGCACCAGAACATTGAAGAAGTGAGCAAGCAAGACTGCATCTCCAGGCTGCTTTAGGAGGCTGAGTGTGCCCAGCTGGAGTCATTCCCATTTCTCTGCTGCTAAAAGGATGGCATGATGCTGACTGCAGCCAGGAGTGGGACTGCTGGCCTTGGGGCTGTACAGTGAGCTTGGGTGGGGTGACCACGTCTGCGTTTGACAGCCCGGGGAAGGTCCAGCTTTTCTGAGAGTTTTTTTTAGGGTGTGGGATGGTCAGGGCCTCCAGTTTTGGGGCTGTAGTTCTCCCTGCTCAGATCTCAGTGCTGGGTGGAAGTGGTGGGGCTGTTGCTTTCAGCAGCCAGAGCTGCTTAATGCGTGTATGCACATGGAGCTTGGGAGCACGGCATTTTCCCATATGTTACATGCACATGCTGTATAGATTTAAAGCCCCTTGGGGACTGGCATGCATTTGGAGGCAGTTGCTTGCCAAAAACCTCTCCCCTTTAAATTCAAAGTTACGTAAAGAGCCTCTTGAAGTGGAAAATGCTGTGGCCTGAGCAGGCTGCCTGCCTCTCCAGGCGCTGTGCCTCCGGATGCCTCCCTTCCAGCCCTGTGCATCGAGGCTCGCTGTGGCTGCCCAGAATTTGGCCAGAGCCCATTCTTCCTCCTTCTTGTCCTGCTTTGGTCATGGAAACAAGGGGATGGGTTTCATTCTGAGGTCTGTTTGCCATTAGCTGTGATTTTGTCATTCACCCTAATGCCAATCAGTGCAGGATCAAAGCCACATCTGCCAGGAGAAGGATGAGCGCGTTGCAGTGTCAGAGCTGTGCCCCCTCTGTGCATCATAACCTTCTGGGGCACAGAGGGGGAAAAGGGGAACACAGAGGCGAGGAGCAATGGCAGAGATCTCCTGTGGGTGTACAGATAGAGTGATGCAGCAAAACAACCAGCTGAGTGCGGGTGAGGAGCATCCCCATGCTAGATTGAGATGGGGGCAGCTGAGCTGTGTCCTAGCCCATGTTGTTCCTGGGGTTGCAGAGATGGGACTGCAGCAGCTCCACGCAGATCAGTGGCTTACTGCAGCCTGCCAGAATGTCTGGGATGGCTGGGCTGGGAGCTGCCTCCACAGCCCCTGCTCCATCCTCCCGTGGGGATGGAGGTCGGCGTGAGCCCTTGTTGCTCTCTGACACTCCAGAAAACTCATCTCTCTTCTGTTCTCTTCCTACAGCCGCTGCAGATCGATGACAACTTCTGTGGCCAGGATTTTAACCAGCCACTTGGTGGAACCGTCACGATTGAGGGGACCCCACTTTTTGTGGATAAAGAGGATGGGATGACCTCGGTGGCTGCCTATGACTACAGAGGACAAACTGTTGTGTTTGCGGGCACACGGAGTGGGAAGATCAAAAAGGTAGGAGAGCTGCAGCAGCATTATGAGGGATGCTTCCATGCTGATGGGGAGATGTCTGCTTGGTTTGGTGACCCTTTGGTGCAGGGTGGAGTGTGCCTCTGTCATAGCATCAGCCTTGGTGTGTTTGGGTAACGTGCATCCCCATTGCTCCTCTCTGCCAATCAGATGTACTGAACCTCTGTCTTATGGGAGGGCTGTAACTCTGAGAGATTGTGTCCTGGTACTGAGTCAGCCTGTCCTGTTGTTTCTCAGAGCTGTTGATTTGCACTGTAGCTGTTGTGGGACTAGGTCCATATTGCTTTGCCCCTGACCTGGGACAGGCCGGCAGAGGTGGTTGTTGACATCTCTGTTGCTGCTGAGAGAAACATCTAGCTGGGTTGGCAGCACTGTTTTGTCTGAAGTGGGCAGGACGGAGTTTCTCTTGGTTCTTCGTGGGCTCAGAGTTGCCATAACTGTTGTTCTCGCATCTTGAATCGGATTGAAGTAAAGGAAGTAGGGTCTGAGTTGAGGTTTCTGCCCCAGCTCTGGAGGAGTCCTTCACCAAGGGGGTGATGAGCTATGCCCTTACTGCTGCAGTGGGGATTTCTCTAGCTTGATTTGATATTCTCACACCTCCTTTGTCTGAGTCAGTGTGAGGTGCCCTGCCTTACAGGGATGGGAGATGGTGGGGTGGGAAGGCTGGCTCCGTACTCTGCCTGTACTGGCAGTAGCGTGCTTTAGGTTTTATGCTGTGGTGTATGTGGGAGCCAAACTGGTCCGAGATGTTCCCTTGGCAGGAGAGAGCCCTCGGGCACTGCAGTGATCCAGCCTGGCGGCACCATGCTATCTCCCAGCATGGGGGAGACCTCCTGTGCCCCACCACTGCACAAAGGCTCCTTGTTGGTGGCAATTAGCAAATAGCTGTGAGTGTGTATTTCTCTGTCTGTATCTCCACAGGGCACGGATTTCCTGTTATCATAACATCGTTCCTATAATTACAGCCATTCATGCCCTGTATAAACATCGCTTGCGTTAACAGCATCCTCAGCCAGGCAGAGGCATAGCAAAGGTCCTGGCATGGTCCTGGCGAGAGCCAGGAGGAGCAGGACTTGGCTGAGGAGCCCCAGCTCCCTTCCTGGGGCTGTCCCTGCATTTGATCTACTTTTCCTTATCCATGCTGTTTAAAACAAAACCTTCCCGTACATCTCCTGAGACCACTGGAGAGAACACAGGTCAGGAGCCAGAGCTTGGCCTCGTGGACCTGTTCTCAGTAGGCTGGGATTTGGAACAAAAGATGAGTTGGGTTTGGGGTTTGGTGGTGCTCTCTGTGTGCCCTGCTGGGCTACTTCTCCTCCCTTCCTGTGGTGTCGGCGCCAGGCTGCAGGGAGCTGACGGAGGCAGCTCGTCCTCCCTTCCTGATCGATATGGGGCCTGCAGGGACCGGCGTCGTGTTGCTGGCGGCTTCTCCTGCTGCCGAGCTCCCAGCGGGAGGTTTTAAATAGCCTGTGCCAGCGTAAGGGATGGGGATGGAAGGAAGGAGAGTGTGGGAGGAGGGTTCACAAAGCCACGGGGACAGCGTGGCACCTTCTGTCCCTTATTTATCTAGAGAGGATGGCAGTTGCTTTTTACGTGGAAGATTTGTTTCTTCCTTCCCTCCATTTTTTTTTCTACTTTTCAGTTTTTCCCTGACCCTTGTGCTGTCAGAGCCACTTTCGTGTGACTGTCAAAGGTGGGTGCCAGGCCAGGTGCTGGCTGTGTGTTCGCTTTGGGTGCAAGGTCAAGGCTGAGACCAGGACTTGGAGCCCAGGTGTAGTTTGAGCGGCTTTCTCTTCTGCAGAGCTTCTCTGTTTTTGCTGGTTTCTGCCCATCACCGTTGTGTGCTATTGTTCACTGGTCCCAGAGAGCTGGATGGGTCTGTGGGGCCTGAAGTAATGGAGCAGAAGCTCAATGGGGCATGAAGAGGTGGATGTCTGTCCTGTCCCAACAGAAGGACTCCAGGCAGGTTTTTATCCCTGACAGATGCTGACACCGGTGTGAGGGTTGACAGTTCCCTGTCTGACCTCTACCCTACAGCCTAGAAACTCTCTGTGGGCACTGAGCATCATGCTGAGCCCTGGGGGACCTGAGCTGTCCTCGGCTGTGACCTTGGGCTCCATGGCCCAGCCTTTTTGCCGGGCAGGCTTGCAAAGCGCTGCCTCAGCAGCTACCTGATCCCGCTGCCTGGCTGTCTGCGGGGCCGCAGTGAGGGGTGGCTGTAAGCACCTCCCTGAATGGTACTGATGTGTCCTCAGCCAGGGAATGGGGCGCTCAGCAGGGTGCACAAATTGTTGTTTTTGGGTGCTGGGATGGCAGCATACGGCGTGGCAGTTCAGGGCCAGTGCTGCGGTCCCAGGACGGGGTGAGATCCTTCAGCCTCCTGCCCATCTCCTGGCAGTGGTGGGCATCCCTCTGCTTGCAGCCCCTTGCTCTGTCCTCTGTTCCCATAGCAAGTACTGTGTTTTGGTTTGTGTACCTTGAGCATTTCTTTTCCTGTCTCCTGCCAGCCCTGATGCCTTTACAGGGAAGTGTCTGCTGTGTCCCTTTACATCCATAGGATTTGTTTTAGACCCTACAAAAACGCAGCAATGTACTGAGAGCTGCAACACAGTGCAGACGGGCACTTTGTGCTCCCCATCCCCAAGAATGCTGCAGTGCATGCCAGTCAGACAAGGGGACACTGATGGTGCCATCTGGGCGGGGGTAAGGTCAGGGCAGAGTCACTGCTGTGTCTGGATTTTCCTTGGATGGCAGCTTCCATGGCCAGCATTTGTCCAGGCTGTTGCATGCAGACAGAGCCTTCCTTTGTCCCCTGAAAAAGCCACGCAAGCCTGGCTTCCCTGCGACGACTGTGAGGCTGCAGGGCAGCACCTGCCACCATCACAGCTGGAGCCTGCCCTGCCCTTTGCCTCCAGACACCTCTGTTCCACGTCCTTCTATCCCTGGGCTGGCTGAAACCATCCTGTTAAATGGGGAACTGGCTTTCCAGGGCAGCACTATGCATGGGATTGTGGTGTTGGGGTCTGCGCTGCAGTTGGAGCAATCTGGAGACTGGGATTTGGGGGAAAAAGTGATGTGAGCACCGTCAGAATCAAAGAATGTTTGCAGAACTGGGAGTGAATTGCTGTAGGGTGGCAACAGGACGGGGTTGGGCTGGGGCAGAGGGGCATCGAGGAGGATGAGGCACAGGACTGCCATGGTGCTGAGTGAATTGCAGCCCTGCAGCTGCCCGCTCTGTGCTCATGTACCACCAGGCGAGCAGGCCTGTGGTTATCTTTGGATGGTGCTGAGTTATGCGGAGAGACCAGGCTTGGAAAGCCCTCAGTCCTCGTGCTCGCTGCCCTCCGCCAGCAGTCATGGGGTTGTGTTGTTTGGGGAATTTCTGCCGCTGCCAGGATGAGTAACGTGGGGATGACTCTGGCCATGCTGCTGGTGTTGGATGTGAGCCACTTCCTCTCCACGCTGGAGCTCGTTGTGTGGGCGCGTCACGGACCCGTCCTTGTGCCCTGTGGTGTGCCGGATGGGGAAGTGACACAGGGACATGAACCTGGAGCACATTGCGTGGGGACTTCTAGAGGAAATCTCAGCAAGAGCAGCAAAGATTGCTTTCCCGGCATCTGCCTTGTGCCTGGAAATCACCAGCCTTTGCCACTACTTCAGCTTTGCTTGGGCTGCTCTGGTTGTGCTTCTGCAGGTCTGAAGGTGAGCACAGCTGTGCGAGCACTTGTCAGGCTGAGTGCCCTTTGCTGCCAGCTGATCATTCGTTTTCGGAGGATCTCTTTGTCTGTAGCTGCCCTGGTTGCCGCTGTAATCTCTTTAGCTCCTTCCCTGTCCTGAAAGCAGATGGCCTTGGGTGCTAACGCATCAGGGCACATCCCTGCTGGGAATTTGCTCCCCCCCTGCTGCTCGTGCTCTCTGCACCATGTTTATCCTCTCCCACAAACAGCACAGCTGAACTGGCCCCGTGTCTGGTTTCTTTGGCTTCTCTGCTTTAACAATAACAACAACAACAACAACAAAAAAAACCAACCCCAAACAAATAAACTCTTTGTGCTAAGTGGGTCATCCCTAAAGGCGCACAAACATGCAGTGCTCGCTTCTCCTTGGAAGGACCTGGGGACCTTGCAGCTCCTGCTTGGGGAGGAATGCTGGCAGCCCATGTTCAGCTGGGCTGTTTGGTGAGCACAGCGAGGCCAGGGCTGAGCAGCTGCAGGGCAGGGCGTGAGGAACAGCAGGAGGAATCTACAGGCTTAGGCTTTGCAGGAATTTCCCCATCATTTGCTGACTCTGGGCTGGGAAATCATGTTTTTGTTCCCTCACTGCCTGGGGCAGCACTGGTGCTTTCTCCCCTTCTGATTTTGCTTCTAAAGAATGATTTTTTTTTTTTTTTTTCCCTCTAAGTGTTCTAAAAGCAAATCTCTTTTCATTGTGAAAGCCCCTCTGCTTTCTTCCTCTCCCCCTTCCTCCAGCTGTGCCGCAAGTCAATAATTATCCCCTCTGGGTTGGCAGGGAGCATAGGGCATCTGCTAGTCATGTGCTGGGTATTTTGGCGGATGGCTGCTTTGCTGGCTGCAGAATTAGTGCTGTGGGGGCTGCTGAGGAGGGGAGATGTGGGTCTGGAGGGAGCAGGAATGTCTCCTGCTTTGGGCAGTACCCAACTGCTCACCCTGTCCTTGTCTGCTTTGGGGAGCATTTGGTGATCTTATGTCTTTTGGACTTGTGTAGATCTCCGTTGGGTGACAAGTTAAGGGCAAGGTCTCCCAAAAGCTGCACCCTGGTGTGGACAAATCTAGGCTGATGGCTGAGTCAGGTCATTGGGGCACCTTGTGAGTTGAAGCTGGGCTGCTGGTTTCCAAATGCTTCTTGCTCTTGCTTCTTGCTCTCAGGGCAGCCAAAGCAGGGGAGAGCTGCTCCTGGCTTCTGAGAACCCTTCTGTGTGGCTGGAGACTTTGCTCCTGCCTTTGGGGAGGCTTTGCATGGGGCTT